CCCCACACACACACAAACACAACCCACCTGCAGCCTATCAAAATTACACAGTGTGTGACTCTCTAGGTTGAAAGCGGCGAATGTGACGTTGATCTTGTTCCCGCGTGTCGAACGCACCGTCCAGGTACAGTTGGCCTGGTGCGGGTACGGGTTGGGGAAGCTGGGGCTCTCTATCACACCCCGGTTACCCGTCAGCTCGTTGTTACAGTCTAAGAGACAGAAAAAATAGATGAGAGATTTAATAAAGAAAATAATAATGACAGCTCGTTATTGCAATCCGATAGAAAGAAAAATTTTTTAATATTTTTTTTATAGCATAGGGTTTTACGACGCTCGCAACTGCATAAGGTCATATGAGCGCCAAGAGGTGGGTGTCAACAGAGAAGTTTTTACAGGGAATAAGACTTAGACTGTCACCTCTCTAGCTTCAACAGCACAAGTTCTGCTTCGACTATCAAGGCACCCCAAAAAAGCAGGTCACAAGAGAGTGACAAACATACAAAAGAAGTAGAGGAAAATGACAACAATAAGGATCAGGAAAGAAAAAGCAGCCCTGTTGTAGATCAGGCACAGTTATGAGCGTGACATGAGTCAGCCCATTTATAATTCTACTATGCTTGAACAAGAAATGTCCCCCCTTTGGGAATGGCCTAAAGACGCTTCAGTCAGTGGCACTGCCCTGGGGGGTAAAAATAAGATGAGAGATGAAGCAATAGCAATAATAATGACAGCTTGTTGTTACAATCTGATAGACAGAAAAAACAACGGAACGGAAAAGTGAAATAATAGCTATAATAATGATAGCTTACTGGATGAAACGATGAAAATAATAATGACATCTTGTTATTGCAATCCGATAGACAGAAAAAATAAGATGAGAGATGAAACAATGAAAATAATAATGACAGCTTGTTGTTACAGTCTGATAGACAGAAAAAATATAAGATAAGATAAGACAATACTTTAAAATCCCAGAGGGAAATTTTTCTTGGCTGTACAGGACAGTAAAAACAGACGCAGGTACATCTAAAAAATTAAATTATATATATATATATATTACTCTCATTAAAATTCAATATGAAAAAAGAAGAAAAGCTGACGAAATGTACATATGTGAGGCAGCGTGGTGGAATCAGGCTCTCGTCAAAATAATCCAAGTGAAGAAACTTGTAATTTTCTGCAGGTTTGTGAATTTTTATCACATTTTTGTTTTTTGGCTCTACACCTTTCATGCCCATTAAAGAACTCATTTCTGTGTGGATTTTTCTTTAAAACCTTGATTAAAGGCACAAAAAATGTAAATTTTCAGTTACCACGGACTCTTAAGCTAAGGAAATAACTAATGACAGCTCGTTATTGCAATCCGATAGATCTCACTAATTTTACCTCTGAGAACAGTCGCAAATATCTCGACTTGTGTTCAAGATAAATGGATATATTTTTCATTAAAATAAAAACAAGTGAACAAGCTTTAAGATGACACCAATAACTCAAAACGCCCAAAAATTGACGAGAACCTGATTCCACCACACTGCCTCACATATGTCACATGAGATGCATCATTCAACCACATGCAGGAATTTAATTACAAGGAAAAATGAATCAATGACGATAATAAGGACAATGACAAGGATAATTCAAATATTAATATTATCATAGGTTGTGAAAAGCATAGAGCTTGATGTTGAGCGGGAGTTTGCGCTATACAAATATGAGGCAGCGTGGTGGAATCAGGCTCTCGTCAATTTTGGGGCATGTAGAGTCATTGGTATCATCTTAAAGCTTGTTTATTTGTCTTTGTTTGGATGAAAAAAATATCCATTTATCTTGAATACAAGTCGAGATATTTGCGAATGAAGGAGGTGGGGATCACCTGTTTTCAGAGGTAAAATTAGTGAGAAAATGGCCGCCAAAGATTAGTTATTTCTTTCGCTTAAGAGTCGGTGGTAACAGAAAATTTACATTTTTTGTGCTTTTAATCAACGTTTTTCAGAAAAATCCACACAGAAATGAGTTCTTTAATGGGCATGAAAGGTGTTGAGCCAAAAAGCAAAAATTTGATAAAAATTCACAAGCCTGTGGAAAAATGCAAGTTTCTTCACTTTGATAATTTTGACAAGAGCCTGATTCCAACACGCTGCCTCACATAATAAATATGTCACTTGAGATGCATCATTCAACCACATGCAGGAATTTAATTACAAGTAAAAGTGAATCAATGACGATAATAATGACAATGACAAGGATAATTCAAATATTAATATTATCATAGGTTGTGAAGCGCATAGAGCTTGGTGTTGAGCGGGAGTTTGCGCTATACAAATGTTATTTATTTTACCATCATTAATGACAGCCTCATTGACAATGATGACAATGACAATGATAATGACAATGAAAAAATAATACTGATACTGGCAGTCACAACCAGACAATGACAATGAATATAATTCTGATTCAACAATTTACAGTTTACTTTTAGTAAGGGTTTTACAGCATTTGCAACACAAACAGGTCATTATATTTTAACTGCCAGAGGAGATAAAGAGGTGTTACTTGAGAGTAACATACAAAATTTTCTCCATATCTATATCTCGGTCTATCTATCTATCTCTCTGTCTATCTATCTATCTACCTGTCTATCTATCTATCTATCTATCTATCTATCTATCTATCTATCTATCTATCTATCTATCTATCTATCTATATATCTAGCTATCTATCTGTCTGTCTGTCTGTCTCTCTCTCCCTATCTCTCTCTCTGTCTGTCTCTCTCTCTCTCTATCCTTCCTCCCTCTCCCCCACTCCTCCCCCTCTCTCTCTCCCTCCCTCCCTCCCTCTCTCTCTCTCTCTCTCTTCACTCACTGGTATAGTACTCCCCCACTCTCTCTCTCTCCCTCTCTCCCTCCCTCTCTCTTCACTCACTGGTATAGTACTGCAGCCTGAATCCACGGCCGGAGACAGAGTAATCCGTCCGGTACTGCATCCAAATGCGATTACTTGTGGAGGTGATCGGGTTATGCATGGTGGAGCCGCACAACTTGCCCAGGACCCGACCAGAGGGGCCATCTTCACGGATCTAAGGGGAGACAAAAAGTGGTATTTTATTGGTTGCGAAATCATACGCATTAAAATCTCTAATGTTTGGCATTGTGGTGAAATCTGGCGCTCATCAAAATAATGATATCGAAGAAAAGGACTTAAAAATTTTTTCAACCCATCGATTTTGTTTTGTGACTTTTGTCTGTTTTTTTCTGGGTTTTTTTTGGCTCAGCACCTTTTTTATCCAATCTAAACATATTTTTTTGCGTGGAATGCACCATTAAAATGTAAAAAATATTTTTAAATATAAATTTGCTTTTTCCAAAGCCACCGAAGCTTTGGTAGTGACCAAACTTTGGCAACCATTTTCTAGCTAATTTAATTTTTACCTTTGACAACAGGTGACCCATACCTTCTTTAATGGCAAGTATCCCCAACTTCTGTTCAAGACAGATGGGTTTCTTCTTTTCAAAAGCATTAAAAAAATTATCTAGCTGTAATATGATACCAATAACTCTGTAATATGCTCAAAAATTGAAGAGCTCCTGATTCCACTATGTAGTGACATGTTTCACATCATAAATAGATCAAATGGACAAGAGAAACTGCTGCTGTGTGGAGAGATAGAGGGAAAGAAGAGCAGAGAAAGACTAAGAACAACATGGGTCATGACGCGGTGGAATCAGGCTCTCGTAAAATTTTGGGCATGTAGAGTTATTGCCGAAGACAAAAATAGATGGCGAGAGCTGGTTTTCCAATGCAGTAGTGCCCCAACGGTTGCCCCAACCATGGGATAGAAGAAGAAGAAGAAGAAGAAGAAGAAGAAGAAGAAGAAGAGTTATTGCTACCGTCTTAAAGTACGTTCATTTCTCTTGCTTTGGATGAAAAAAAAAAATCATTTATCTCGAATAGAAGTCGAGATATTTGCGAATGAAGGAGGTAGGCGTCACCTGATTTAAGAGATAAAATTAGTGAGAAAATGGTCACCAAAGATGAGTTTTTTCCTTAGCTTGAGAGTCCATGAAAGCGGAAAATTTACATTTTTTGTGCCTTTAATTAACGTTTTTCAGTAAAATCTGTATAGATATGTTCATTAATGGGCATGAAATGTTTTGAGCCACAAAACAAAAATTCGATAAAAATTAACAAACCTGAGGAAAAATACCAGTTTCATCACTTTTTTTATTTTGACGAGAGCCTGATGTCACCGCGCTGCCTCACACATACCCACTGATTATCGGAAGACTGCGACATTCGCCATTTCCTCACCTTCGACACACTTCCAAGTTGTCAAAACAACAATTTTTCTCACTCAAAACTCACAAGCAAAAAGTCAAAAGGACATTTCCTTTCCCAAACCATACTTTCAAAAATCCAAAACGACATTATCTGCCCTAAAACAAGAAAAAAACATTTCCTCTCCAAAATCTCACCTGCAAAACTCAAAAATAACATTTCCTCTCCCAAAACTCACTGCATGCAAGAAGTCAAAGCGATAATTTTTCTCAACCAAAACTCATCTGCAAAACAACAAAATGACCTTTCCCCCTCCAAAAGCTCACCTGCCAAAATCCAAAACAACTTTTCCTCACCTAAAACTCACGGGCCAAAATCCAAAACAACTTTTCCTCACCTAAAACTCACGGGCCAAAATCCAAAACAACTTTTCCTCACCTAAAACTCACGGGCCAAAATCCAAAACAACTTTTCCTCACCTAAAACTCACGGGCCAAAATCCAAAACAACTTTTCCTCACCTAAAACTCACGGGCCAAAATCCAAAACAACTTTTCCTCACCTAAAACTCACCTGCCAAAATCCAAAACAAATTTTCCTCACCTAAAACTCACCTGCCAAAATCCAAAACAACTTTTCCTCACCTAAAACTCACCTGCCAAAATCCAAAACAACTTTTCCTCACCTAAAACTCACGGGCCAAAATCCAAAACAACTTTTCCTCACCTAAAACTCACCTGCCAAAATCCAAAACAACTTTTCCTCACCTAAAACTCACCTGCCAAAATCCAAAACAACTTTTCCTCACCTAAAACTCACGGGCCAAAAGTAAGAGAGGTAATTTCCTTCTTCAAGAAAATCAAAATATAAAACTTTCTCTTACCCCCAAAAAACTCACCTGCAAAAAACAAAACGACAACATTCCGTCTCCTTACACTCACCTGCAAGAAGTCAAAGTGACAACTTTTCTCACCCAAAACTCACCTAAAAAAGTCAAAGCGACAATTTTTCTCACCCAAAACTCACCTTAAAAAAAGTCAAAGCGACAATTTTTCTCACCCAAAACTCACCTACAAGAAACCAAACCGACATCCCGTCTCCCGCCACCACTCACCTCCAAAAAGTCAAAGTTACAACTGCTGTGTGACTCCACTCACTTCCAAAAAGTCAAAGTTACAACTGCTGTGTGACTCCACTCACTTCCAAAAAGTCAAAGTTACAACTGCTGTGAGACTCCACTCACTTCCAAAAAGTCAAAGTTACAACTGCTG